GAACTTAGCCTTGAAAAATCATAAGTGATTCATCAGTGATGGCAATCTTCTAGTACAAAAGAAGTAAATATCAATATGACGGCTAATTGTGTAATAAAGACACATGATACAAAAACGACTAGAAGACTGCTATCACTGATGAATCACTGATGATTTTTCAAGGGCTAAGTTCGTTGAATAATAAACTATAATTCCAGATCGAGGTTTTCCCTTGGAGGCACTCATATACTGTATATGGGTACGCGTTATTTAGAGACGCGCATGGGCGTTATTTTGAAGCCTCGCAGACTATTCTAAGGGCGCGATTTTCTAAATAATGCCTATGCTCTTTTTCATATTCTGGAGAATTCCGATCTTTATTTAATCATTTAAAAAAAAAACTTTATATACTATTTTGATAAACGAAACTACCTAATCCACTCCACTTTTGCAGATAAGCGTACATTCTCTTTAGAGTTTTTTGACATTAAATATCTTTCCATAAAAGTGTCTTTACGCGTAAAAACAAACAACTGCTTTTTTATTACGTTTTGATATCTATATCGTATCAATTCCTCAAAATCAAAGTCAAAAAAACGAACTTTCACAAACTTCACTTCAATCTTTTGCAAGTTCACTTCAAGCTTTGGATATTCTAATAAGAGAACACTTTGATAGATTAGAAAATATTCAAAAAATTAGAAATGGTGGTTTTAGTACTATTTACTCAGCAATTTGGATAGATGAAAACGAATAGAACCAGTTAACCACGCAAAAAAGTCTGAACATACAATATCACGTGAACGTTACTTCATGATTGCGCTCAAAAGCTTGGTTGGAAATTAAAATTCATCAGATGTTTTCAATGAATTTAAGGCTCATGTTGAATGCCAATTAAGAGGAGGTCTTCTCAAATATATGGGCTTGCCCAAGATACAATAATAAATGAATTTTTTTATGGTAATTCAATATGCTAATAAAGGAGATCTCTATAATTATCTATCAAACAATTTTACAACTCTTACTTGGAAAGAGAAATTACGGTTTTTATTATCAATAGCAAAATAATTTGAAAAATATTCATTCAGCAGGATTGATTCATAAGGATATTATTCATCTTGGAAATATTCTTCAAGTTAGTAACGAAGTAAATATCACTACGCATCTTTCAGGTTTGGGATTGCCTAAAAGAATAAGTGGTTTAGATATAAGTGAGGAAATATTTGGAGTTGTATCTTATGTAGTGCCTGAAGTATTGCTAGGCCAACGATATACAATGGCATCGGATGTTTATAGCTTAGGAGTTATTAGTGCGAATGTCAACTGGAAGGTTATCATATGACAATAAAAATTATTCGTTGATACAGATCCTCCATTAACGATATTTTCTCCCGGAACTCCTAAACATTATATTAGATGTGCAACAATATGCATGGATTCGGTATAATAAATTTTTTTCTTGGTCAATATTATCGTTAAAAATCCAAAGTATTTAACTAAAAATGAGCTTCGAATTCGAAGAAGCAAATAAACTTATTCATGCATTGTCAACAACTTCATATAGATATCCAAATACAGAAGTTTTAGTACTTTATTAGTACTCAGAAATATTTTAAAAAAATATTTAAATCAAGTAGTATTAAATCAATTGATAATGTGATAATTCCTGACATTACTAAAATATCAAGTACAGGATAATACGATATTGAAATCAATAATATATTTTTAAAAATCTTGTTTATATATTTTAAAAAATCAATCTATTATTTATCACGTACGTACATTACTGCACAGTTGCTAGGCGAAACTAGTTTTACGAAATGGCGAAAGGTGTGAAAGACAAAGTTCTAAAAAAGACTAAGCTCTAATAAAAGATATAATAATAAGAAAAAGGATTGAAGTTAGGTGAAATCATTTATCTGTATGCTAAATGAAGTTAGGTGAAACTATTTTTCTGTTATGCTAAAATTGAACTAAAGCCGAACCTTTTGCCTAATAAAAAATAGCAAACACTAAGCAAAAATGAACATGGTGTGTATTGTGGCTACGGGGTGTATCATGCAAGCCTATTTACAAACATAGTTAATTGATTTTTTTTTATAGAACAACGCTAGTAATAGTAAAATAATAATAAAAACATATAAAATTCAAACTGCAATAACTCTTGAACCAGCAAGTCCACACAAATAAAATTACATTTATCAAGTTTATTTTAGCACGCTCTTTAAAGTAACAACGCCTTTGTGGGTGTCCCAATTTCTATGCAACATTTTTAATAAAAAAATCAAATACATAACTTTGAATTTTTTGTCGACCACATTGAACTAGACAAAAATTCTAAGTTACGTTTTTGATATTTTTATTAAAAAAACATCAAAGACGACAATTTTGCATGAAAATTGAGACACCTGCTATGCTCTAAACAATAAAAATAAATAAATAGAGACGTTCCTTTAAAGAGCTTGCTAAAATGAACCCGACAAGTGTAATTTTATTTGTGTGAACTTGCTGGTTCAAGAGTTATTACAGTTTGAACTTTATATGTTTTTACTACGTATTTTTCCATTATGTCAAGAAAATCCTGAAAAAAATATGGGTCGTAGTATCTCAAAAATTCCCTATATATCTAGCATTAACAATTGTGTCCTATGAGTAAAATTTCATTCTAAAAACTTTTATTTAAAGGTCGGAAGTTAGTTATCATAGTAAATTTTTGTGTTACAATTTCTTATGTTTTTCACGTTTGTTTTGTTATACAAGACCCTGTGATTTTATTGGATCTGGATAGGGTCGGAAGTGATCTTCAGCCTGAGATTTTCTTGACATAAGGGTACCCTTACATGATACACCTCAGTATTAGATGTTCTCCTCTCATAAATATCCCAAAAAGAGTAAGATTTCTGTGCATTATCAGACAGATTAGTAGAGCAATCAAAATTCAGCAAATCGATCAAAATTTAGGGTTAGAATAAACTGGAATTGATAAATTTCTTCCAAAATTTTACTAATAGTATTCAACAGTCTTTGCAAATTTGCTGATTTAGATACAGTAAAAATTTAATGCCAAATTAATTAATGATTCTTCAGTCAACAGAAGAAAAATTTTTTTTTATATATAAATTTTATTATAAGCCCAAACCTGGAGTGCCTCTATCTAAAACTTTTTTTTTACTAAATAAATTATTTTTGGGCTTGTAATAAAAGTTGTAAAGCTCATCAAGATGCATCTAATAATAGTAAGAACATTAAATTGAAATTTTGTTTAATAAAATAAAATATTTGATTATATTAATAAGGTATTGTAAAATAAAACCAGTTATTATTGAAAATAGTAATAATATATATTTTTTTTAATTTGGCAGTCCTGCCATTTTTTATTTGCAAATTAACTAAATTAAGAAATTTACATTTCCTAATAATAGCTATACTAATCCACCTATAAAGTAGCTTACCCACGCTTTCGCCAGATATGACTTGCCTTAGTAGATTTCAAGCCTCTCTCCAGGCTCCTAACTTACTAGAGGTTATCCTTTGATCATGGGCTGGTGCTACACACTGTATCAAAGTTAGCTTTCCTTTTATCAAATGAAATACAAACACAAATGCAAAGGGTAAAACAAAAATAGGAAAATACTACAGCGTCGAGTTCTGGTCCACCTAAACCAATAAAATCAAATAAAACAAATAACGAAAAAAAAAACAAAACAAAACAAAACAAAGATAGCACTATTAAACCCGTGCAGGATTGTAAAAATTATATAGTACTACAAATAATCTAGACTAAAACTCTACGCTAGTTATTTATATCTATATCCAGAATGTAAAAATGTAAAAACTATTCGGTCTTGAAGTAGAGCTCTAAGGGTCAAAACTTCTAGTTGCTATACCAAACCGTCAACAAGCCTTCTGCAATGTTTTAACCTGTAACTTCCTGGGCAAAGTTTGTGAGCTGTTGTCCGTCGACCCATGTTAGCAGATCAGGCACTCTCGGTTTAACCACTGTAAACTCTTGAGGAAAGAGTATCTAACACTATAACCTAAAGTATACACGTACACATATATGTATATTTCCTTTTTCAGCAGCGATTGTTGTTGTCGATCTTTTGATGAAAATATACTGTTTTTCTCACTTTTTATAGAAATTTCGCAAAGACCAAGAGAGTGGGATATGGAAGAGGGTTTCAGTTTGCAGATAGCCTTAAACTTCGGTAAGGAGTGTGTTGAAAACTTGCTTGTTGTTTTCCTTAGACAAACTATTTTTAACTTTGTCAACAAAAAGCAGAGCTTCTATTAAAATTTTCTGTACAAAGGCACCACCTTCTTACTAGTTATCTTGTATAAGAATGCTTTTAACTTGCATATTAAATATACAGAGGAGTCTAGGTAAAACATGAAAATCCTTGACCTCTGTAAAAACCATTATTATATAGTTGTCTCTTCTACTTTTTTCCAACAACTTTCTGTTTTCATTAGCTATAAGTTTGGTATAAGTGATCATTAGAGAAAGTTGATAATATTGTGTGATTGATTCTGATAGGTTAAAAATATCTATATATATATATTTTTATATTAATTGCTAATTTTTTGAAATCATATAAACTTTAATTCTTTATTACTTTTTTAAAATAAAAAAAAATAATCTTTTGCCAAAAATGTAGTTTATCTAAAAATCTATCAATTTGTCAGAGGATTTTTGATTTAGCTTGTATTAAAAAAGTTATAACACTTTAAAGTTTTTACTAATAAACATTGGATGAGTTTTACTGTCTAGTACTATACTACTATTTAAACTAGTCTTTACTCTAATTTATATAATTAGTATATTTAAGAAAAATCATTATTACAGAAAAAAATAGTTCTTCTTTAACTTGTATACTGTAGAGAAGTTGAAAATCGACTATTGGTTCAAATACATTGTTTATTTTAATTTTTACATTTGAAGCATATAATCTACATATTTGTAACTTATATGCATTTACATGTTTATTATGATAGATTTAAGTAAACAATTTTGACTAATTTGAAAAGTAAACAATATGCTAATCTTTTGAAGAAAGCAAGCTGAGTAGAAATTTGCAATTTAAGCTTATGCTTATGTCTAACAAAAATTTGGGCATGGGCATGAGTATAAAAACTTTGGCATAGGTATGGGTATTAGTTTAAAAATTTAATATAATCATAGACACAGGTATAAAAATTTGGTATAAGCATAGACACAAGTACAAAAACTTGGTATATATATAAAAATAAATATAAAAATTTAATATTTAGAATTTTATAATTTAGCGCATATGCGTTATGACGCACCCCCATAAGATCTGGTGTAATATGAAATCAAAACAAACCAGCAATACATTAATTTAGGGTAAGGGTTAGCACTAATATAAGGTTAGATTAGATTGTAAGTAAATGTTAGTTATACCCAAAATTTTGCAAGAAATTTTTTTGTTAGAGCGCAAAAGGTAGTTTCATAAGCAAAATTATGAGTTACAGGCGATTTTTTCAAAATATCGCTATTTTTTTCGATTTTACATTACACCTGATCTTACAATCTGATTGGTCGATCAGTGGGTGCATTACAATGCACATGCGCTAAATTATAAAACCCTAATATTTATTAATTAATTGTATCTAATATTTTGCCTAACACTTGTGTCTGTTACTTTTTTAGTACCTTTTTATCTAATATAATGTGTTATATCTATAAAATATCTAGTATTTGTGCTTATATTTATAAAAATACCCAGAATTTATGCCCTTGTCTATAATAATTTCTAACACTTTTATGCCTATAAATATGAATATGATATAAGGCACTAGTATCTTAGTATCTAGCATAATACAAATATGCCTAACATAAGCATTTGCAGAAACCTAAAGCTAAATTGCTCACTTTTTTACAAAATTTTCTCTAAAAAAAGCAGAAAGTCAATGAAAGTATATGAAGTTTTCTTTAAGTTTTACAGTTGTATAGTTAATTTTTTAAGCTTCAACTATCTTAGTGAGAGTCTTTTAACTACTATTTATTTCCAGAATAACTTTTCTGATTTGGATGTTAATTATTTTAAGAAGTTTGTTAATAGAGCAGAAAAATCATATCAAATAATTAACTCTAGTGTTCAAAAAAGTTAAATCAGATTGGATTTAGATTTTGATTTAATCTCAACCATCAGATCAGTTTTGGCCCAGAAAATTCAGATTGGGCCAGATTAAGCGGGATTGGGCTTAATTTTAAGGTTATCTTTTTATATAATCACAAAATGTGATAAATTCGAATTAGTTACAGGACAAATTCAAATATATCACATTTTGTGTTACAATATATGTGACAGTTTCAAATTT